GGGGTAGAGACAGATTTAAATGTGTTAAACGCCAGACACGAGTCTTCTGAACCACGACCCACCACAGCCCTCAGGGAAACCTCCCGCCTGGCTCTGCTCAGGAATTGAGGGAGCTGCAGCAGGTAAGTTACTCAGCATGGGGGCCAGTCTATGATGGAATGAAGTCCATTATCATTATTACCCCTGGAACTTAGCCAGGAACGTAATTATAACACAACGCAGAAGGTCAGTGCCATTTGAGAGGTACCAAAAATAAAATAAAGACGTCAAGACGGCTCAAAGGAGGGAGAGGTGACATTTGTCAATAATGCCATTCTTTAAGGAGGACACATGTGAAAATTGTGGAGGGTTTTGGCACAGAGAGATGACGGAGGGGGCAGCAGAGACTCTAACACGGATGGGAAATGGGGCTTTTCGGGGAGCAGTGTCTCTGATAGCCCGAGATCAGGGCAGGGGGATGGAGAGGGAGGGCTTTGCGCTGTGCTGCGGGGCGGCGTCCCTATTAAAGGTGGTGGCCAGTGGGGAGTCCGTGTCAGCTTGCGAGCTGGGAGGTGACCTGAGCAGGGCTGCGTGCTGGAAAGGCACATTTGGCCGAGGTTACTGCAGAGAGCGGCCCAGGGCGTGGGCAGGGCGAGCGTCTGAGTCAGGGCTGCCCCTCCCGGGCTCCCAGCTGAGCCAGGTCCCTCCGCACATTCCGGAGCTGCAGATCCGGTCCCAGCGCCGGTTCGCAGCACGACAGGGCCCTCTACAGGGCCTGGGGCCTGGGGACGGCGCTCTGACTCTTCTATTTTTTGAAAGAAGCTAGATTTTTTATAGTACAACACCCCGTGGTCTCTACATTTAAGTCGAACACCATGAAAGCTAAAAGAAATAGGCCTGTGGGCTGCGTCGGCCTCAGAGCCTTTGCCTTCTCGGTAGAGAGCTTCCAGGGGCAGTGGGGTAGGTCATCTTCAGCACCCAACTTCTCCACTCAACAGACAAGAAAGTCACATCCAAAGGGCCCGGCAGAGCTGAATAACCACGTAGCCGGAAGAGAACCCAGGTCCCTTGAGTGTTGACCCACCGCACAGGGGCATGTGACACTGCTTCCAGCTGTCCTCTTGAGCTGGACCCCACCGGTCACTGTTTGTCTCCACAGCGGGCTAGGGTGGGATTGAGATTGATGTGGTGGGAAGGGGCTGATGAGATTTCACCAGGATGCCTCGCTCCTCATGCCATGGCCAACCTAACTCAGGTGTCCCAGTTCAAGTAACATCAGTGTCAGAGACTCCAGGCCACAGGCCAGAATAGAATATTCCCAGGATTTCAGGAGACTATTCTTTATCCCCTGAGTCGTGAGGATAAGCCAGGGGTCATTCACACTCTGCAGTCTCTGGAGACTGTGCAGTCCACTGCCAGCTTGACACTACTCTGGCCCCACCCTGGGGTGATGTGCATATCTTAATAATCTGCAGGTGACAGGAAGGGACTCTTGTGGTTGATCTGTGACAAAAGTCATTATTTTATGTATTTTAAAGAAAGTAACTTTCATCATTTGCATACAGATCATTTGGGTGTATCTCTAAATTCACCAAGAAATTCATCCCCAGTGGTTTATCTTGTATAAAATGCTGGGAAGCTTCACCAGGTTCAGCTGAGACTATGGCATGTGCCCCATCTCATCAGGCCCTACGTAGTAAATGACAAAGAATTCATGGAGACCTCGGTCAGACCACCTGGTCCGGCTGAGGTGAGGAGCTTTGACATCCATCAGACCACCTGGTTCAGGCTCAGGGCCCGTCATCTTGAACAGGTGATTTGCCTGCTCCAGGCCTCAAGGACACACACGCAGGGACAACCAAAATGATGCAATTAGTGCTTCCAAGCACTGAGAATGCTCATGCACCATCCCTCTGTGACGTTAGTGCTTCAGCTAGGTTTGGTAAGGAACTTAATATGGAATCAATAATTTTGTGCGATGTTAAAAATCTAGAGATGCCATTTTTTCCCCAGAAAGATGCGAGGTCTAGTTAACATCCTCATAAACATCAGAAACACTGCTATTTTGATAGCTGCTTGCTTGCCTGTGGTCTTAACTGAAACTCAATCTCTGTGACATGTGCTCCAATAACATCGTTGAGATATAAAGATGACACAGAAAGGCCACAAGGTGTTCAAATAAGGCCTGGTTAAACAACTAAATTTCCCTTGTTACCCAGTAATCATATCCCTAATCTTTATGAGATGTTTCTTTGGAAGCTGTGGGTGTTGTCCGTAATCTGGAACATCCATTGTGTTTAGTGTGGGCAGAGAAGCTGTAATGACGGGACACCTTTATTCACATGGATCTTCCCAAGGGGCCAATCCTCAGAATTCCTAGAAAATTCAGTCTTAGTCTCTTGTACTCAGAGCTAGGCATTGATTGAGTGAATACTTTTTAAAAATTCCAAGCAGAATTTGGAAGTTATGTTTGTGACTGTGCTACTGAGTGGGTCTGAGCCAGACGTTGGACAGAAGTGTGGACTCACCCAGACCAGCAGTGCCAGACTCTGACATGAAATTTCAGCTCTTACAGAGCATCTCAGCAGATGCTCATATCCTGATGTCATGCAGCCATGATGTAAGCCAGGAAGAGTGGTATTTTGCAATACCAAGATTCTGGTAGCCCATCCCACGAGTGTGGGTTGCAGTTATCAATATTTATATCATACCACAGAAAGCATGTTATATTTTGTAATGCAGATAAGCTAGATGGCTCTCCTAGGGGCCTGTGCAGCGATGACTTGTCCTGTGTTAACAACAAAAGCTTAAATTGCTGATGCTTGTCTTGTTATTTTCCTAAGACATTTTTTTCAATTAGATATAATGAATGGAAATCTTTCTGACATCACCAAAATGGGCTAGTCAAAATTGGAGGCTTAGATCTGTATTGTGCCAGGAAACACTAAAAGGTGGACGATGTTGTAACCACATCCTCTCTTCATCTTTATGAAAACATAATCATACAAAAAGCCAATGCGGGGTGGGGGGATACAAGGACAAGAACTTACAATGCCTTCTTGGCAACTTTCCTGGCTTGGGCATGGCTGAGATTATAGCATGTCCTCATTCCCATCATGCCCTAAAGTGACAAAGAACTCGTGAATATGGGTGAGTATGTTGAAAGGAACTGAAGGACAGACAGAATGGCAAGTGGAAGCCCCTGATGACCCCCGTGGCCAGTTTTCTTTAGTCAAAGATGCCAGAAACATGTCATCCTTTCTTTCCTAAATGATCCACCCACCCAGTGATCCGTGGATGGAGACCTGAGAGTGTGGTGCTGGGGGAAGCACTTTACTGCACCCTCTTTTCAGGGTCTCACTGAATACAGAAAAAAAAATGGGAAATGACACAATTTCCAGATCGTCCTGTATTTCCGTATGTATGCTCACTCAAATCCTATTTGTGTACATGAATGTTGCCAGGTGTGGCTCTAGTGCCAGAGTAATGCCAGAGATTCCTTCTGGAAAAATGAACTCAAGGAATTATAGAATCACAGATTATTTTTCATAACAGACCATAAATAGATGGCTTTCATAAGCCACTCTCTAAGCTTCTGTACAATCTCACCAAGCAGTTTTCTTATTAATAAATATGACTCCATAGGTGAAAAAAGGTGAATTTCTATTGGTATTTGTTTTGGTTAACATTTTGGTTTAGAAACCTGGAGATTTTAGTTCTCCATCTACTATTGTTCTGATTTCAATTGCCTTGTGTTTATAATTGAGAGTAATTCCAATCAGTATACATGACCTTTACAGTTACTACCTCTCTAGACTCTAGCATTAATTCCTCTTCTCATTTATCAAGAGATGGTTGTTAATTAGTTAAAGGCTGTCCTCTGTTTCTTCCTGTAGTCTCCCCCAGAGTTTTTATGTTTTTGAAATGCTCAGAAAGAGCACAACTCTCAGACGTGGTGAGTGGCTAGAGTCCCTGGGAGGAGCCGCCACCTCCCGACTCAGGTCTGATGTAAGCTGTGCACTCTCTGTGAAAACACGCGCGGGTGCTGACTGCAGCTCCCCCTCATCACAGCCCTTCTGACAGAAAAGCAAAGCAAGAGAAATCCTTTGTACTCAAAGGAAAGCAGCACGTCAAGTTCTGCTCAGGAGTGAAGGAGAAGTTCTAACTGGTGTAAATGAAAGGCTTGTCACCAGACTTCCATGTGAGAATATTCCTGTTTGATCCTCTCTTAACTAACATCATGATCAAAATTTTGCTTATCCACAGCACAATGGAAAAACAGAGTCCATAAGTTTAATAAGAAATGGCAGCTATTATAATTCTTCAATATTATTTTCTTCTTCCTTTAAAAATAAATTATTATTTTACAAACCAACATTAAAATATACCCTGAAGATAACCCCCGATGGTGGTGGACTTTGGGATGGGCTGGGATTATCTCACCTGCAATGCTGACTTGGACAAATGGTTTCCTCTGTCACTGTCAAATTTTGTAGAAACAAGGAAGGGCCTTGTGGAAAATGAAACCAAAGCCCCCAAATTAAGAACCTGAGCAAAACTGTTCACACTGTGTGGCAGAACTGTAATTAAAGAGGAAGGACATTGATTCCTAAAGAGTTAGTGACTTCAACCACTGCTCCACTTTTTCTCTCTACGTGCAAATCTGCTATCACATGTTCAGAAATGGTAAAGAACGTTTCCACATGCTGTAGGCTAGTGCAGATTCCTCCATCCAGTTCTTCAATGTCTATTTCAGGACCAATAATAGATTTTTATTTATTAGGAGAATTCTTTGAGTTTGGTCCAAATGAATGGTTACCAGGTAATTCCACTGATAAACTGGAGGAGGTGATGAAGAAAAGCCCAACACAGTTTTGTAATCCACGCAGAAACAGAAACGCTTTGCCTCCTTGGGACTCAATGTCCAGATAGCTTTCAGCCCTCAGAAACTCTTTGTCTTACTCCGTGTTTCACATATAAAGTGTGCCCAGTCACAGCTGGGCAGGATCCGCATTTGTCCTGGATGGTCCATCTTCTCCACGGCCTAGACCACATGTTTGCTTCCCTGGAAGTGCCATAACACTGCTTTCATCCTGAAATGGACGTCACGTTCTTTTACAGACACCATGAAGGCAGCATGGTTGGGATTAGGAGTCACAGAGGCCCCGTCCAGGTAGTCCGGGAGGCGGGTAGCAGGCCCCCCAAGGACCCACACTTGGGTTGCTTTGGCTTGCTGTACATCGATAATTATTCCTGTGAAAACTCACATCTGACACAGTCAGACACATGACTCAGTCTTTCTGCAGTAAGGACAATTGCCACACAACAAACCCAGAGTGGGACCTTGGATTTGATTCCCGCCACTGTCACTTGTTCCCAGGGCTGCAGTTGCATCCCAGTGACGGCAGCTTTCCCCTCTCACTTCATCCTGACACCAGCGTCCCTTATGTTCAAGTCTAGTTAGCTTGGCAAGTTTCATTCTTTCATTGGAAGATTTCAATTTTGAACCCACTGAGTTTTACAGATGCCTCGACAGACGCTCCTCAAGGAGCCTCACAGTGGTCTACCTCCAGAACAGATGTTGTAAGGTGATTTTGTTTTTAGACACCTGAAACAGAGCATTGGTTGCATGTGAATTTGACTGCTGTGTATAGGTCATGAGGACGACACAGGTGTACTGGTGGAGCGGGTCCTCAGGGTGGCCCCACCCACACCTCCTCTTCACCCAGTGGAGGACCCGGCCCCCAGCAGCTGTGGATGTGATTGCCCATGGCCAACAGAAGGACCGTCAGGAGATTCCTGGGAAATCTCAAGCCCCACCTCCTGTAACCCATGATGGATTAACAGAGGACCCTAAAACCCAGACCTGCTGCTTTCTCAGAAAGGTGGACACTGTCCTGCACATTCTAGGCCTTTCTGAGGAATCCGGCTGAGGCTGCACTTTGGCTGAAGCCACATCTTGGCTCAGCTGCTCCCTGCGCTCTGCCTGCCGTCCTGACCTCATCACAGACTTCACCTTGGAACCCTCCCAAGCAGTCACACGGACAGCAATCCTCGTCTCAGGCTCTGCTCCCAAGGAATCTGACCTCAGATTCTAAACATCAGCTTACTAACACCAAAAGGTCTTACACCCCCCCCTCACTATTACTATTAACTATTTCTTGGTCTCTTGGAAGGTCTGCAACTGATATAATATAGATTTGATTCTCTCAAAGATACAGTTGTCAACCAAAACAAACTTTCCCAATTTGGGACAGGCACTTTGGATCATATTACAAATGAAAAAAAAAAAATCAGTAGAATACAGCAAGGGAAATACATTTGTATTTTTTATTAATGTACCTCATTAGTTATTGGCTTTTCCCTAACTACATGGGCTTAAGGAAAAATTACTAGTGTGGGGAATCCAGAAATAAGGATGAAGTGCTAGTTTATATTTATCTGTAGATTTTGTAGATCAAGTTTGACTTCTTAGGTTTTTAGCAGGAGACAGTATTTTCTGAACGTCCTCCCAATTGAAGTCTGGGGAGAAACTGGCTTTTGTTTGTCACACATTTTTACTCATTTAAAAAACTATTCCTTGATTGTTTTTTCAATCAACAA